CATAATGATAAAAATGAAATTGACTTTGTTCCTTCCGTTGAAAAAGTTAATAGAAGTTATGATAGTGTACCTATTGAAGTTAATGACATATTATGTCAGATTCAGTTGGTTTTTATTGTGCATAACTAAAACTTCCTGCTTTTAACCAAGGGAAGTTTCAGCTATTACAAACAGAAGTCAATTGGATATTAAAAATTGTCTGTCGACATTCAGCCGTAGTCATGTCTTGACCACGTTTGTTTTGAAAATTTGTATACATTTTAAAAAAGCACTAAACATTATCATAACTGTAAAGAAACTTAAAAAAAAAAACTTATTTTAAAAGAAGCAAATAAATCTTTGTAAAGATAAAATAACAAAAAATAAAGTAAAAATAACTTGAGCTAAACTAAAATAAAAAAAAAATTAACTAAAATAAATAATAAACTATAATAATGAGATTATTTAAACTATGTTTGGAATAATTATCTTTGAATTGTTTATCTTTACTAATGTTTTTATAATATAATAGTATGCAAAACCCTGTAAATAAAGTACAACATCTAACCATTGTTTAATAAATACGCATATTGAAAAGTTAAAAAAAAGATTCTTAACAATTCTTTGCAGTAACGTAAACAAAAGAAAAAATAATGAAATTGTTTCTTTTGTTACAAATTTTTCTGCAACCACCAGAATCCACACTGAATGCTAATTATATTATTTACTAAATTTGTTGGTCTATTATACTATAATATATATTATAAAATAACTATTAGCATATTTATATTATATTCTGAGTGAATCAAATGTTTATTTTTTATTTTGTAAGTTTTAAATAAGTAATATTTATAAATAGACTTCAACTAACTTATATTTTAACTACTAAACATTTTATTATATTTTTTACTTGGTTCTGGCAAAAAATTTTTTTTTATCTTTTCAAGTATATTAAACTTGCTAGTTAAAAACCGCTTATTTCAGCACATTTTCAAAATGTTAAAAGATGTCTTCAAATTGTTAAAACAAAATATTATTTGATTGGTAATAAAAAGGCTGGTTTTCTTACATCTCTGATAAATATATAAATATATAAATATATATATATATATATATATATATATATATATATATATATATATATATATATATATATATATATATATACACAGTACTGTGAATATGTTTTAGACCACTTATATAATTAGTTGTATTTTCAATTTTTTTCCTGTGTATTTTTTTTTTTAAGCATACTGAAGTTGAGTAATATTTGAGAAAGGTTGAAAGAATATATTATCTTGAATAAATAAACAAAAATTTATGAGGAACATGAGGGATATGTTTGTTTATTTATTAAAACGATAATTGTCATAATAACTGCAGACCAAGCGTTCATCTAAATAATACATAAAAATAAAATTTTCGATTTTTTTCTTACTGGTTCAGGTTCATATTCGTTCATTTAATACAATAATAATCGGTTTTGGTACATTTTTTAAAAAGTTGTTATTTTTTATGAATACAGTTAAACAAATAGTTAAAAATAATTAAATAAAGTTATTAGTTTACATTTTTAGATTAATTAAGTGTTGCTATGGGTAAAATATCTTTAATAGAGAGACAGAAAGTTATTGTGCTTCACGAAGAAGGTTATTCGCAGCGCCAAATTTCTTCCAAAACAGGATATTCGAAGACTGCTATTAGAGAAATCATTAAAAAGTTTAGAGAAACTGGCTCCCTTCGAAATAGAAAGAAAAGTGGCAGACCTTCTAAGCTAACAAAAGATGACAATAAATATTTAAAAACCCTTTCTTTAAGAAACAGGAAAAAAAACATCCACCGAATTGGCAAAGGACATTAATACAGCAACAGGGAAAAATGTTAGCTCTTCTTGTATTCGACGACACCTACTCAAATCAGGATTACGAGGCTGCGTTGCTATTTGAAAACCTTTATTACGGCGTGGCAATAGAGAAAAACGACTTAAATATGCAAAACAACACAAAGATTGGACCCAGGAAATGTTTAATCGGGTTCTGTACACTGATGAGTCCAAATTTGAAATTTTTGGAACGAAAAGACGTCAATATGTTCGAAGAAGAATAGGAGAAGCCTATCAGCCCGAGTGTTTAAACCCTACTATTAAACACGGAGGAGGCTCTTTACAAGTTTGGGGCTGTTTATCTTCATCTGGGGTAGGTGATCTGATCAAAATAATGGGACGACTCACCGGGGAACGTTATGTGGATATTCTAAGACAGCATGCTATACCATCCGGAATGAGACTAATGGGCCATAATTTTATTCTGCAGCAGGACAATGACCCAAAACATTGTTCCCGAGTGGCAAAAAATTATTTAAATAAAATGGCAGAAGAAGGAATACTGGAAATGATGACCTGGCCTCCCCAGAGTCCAGATTTGAATATAATCGAGCATATTTGGGATTACTTGGACAGGAAAAAGGTCGAACATGCTCCCCGAAATGCTGAAGAATGTTTTCAACTACTTCAATGAGAATGGCACAACATACCGCAGGATTTTATAACAAATTTGTATGAATCTATTTCCCGGCGAATATCGGCTGTGATTAAGGCAAAAGGAGGACATAGTAAATATTAAGGGTTTTTTTATGAAGTGTGACATTAAAAAGTTTGTTAATGTTCCATATTTTGTGTGAAATATATGTATTTTAATAATTTTATAATATAGAATTCAAAACTTAAATATTAAGGAAGAATTCTCTTGGATTTTTTGAGAAAATGTAAGTGGTCTAAAACATATTCACAGTACTGTATATATATATATATATATATATATATATATATATATATATATATATATATATACATATATATATATATATATATATATATATATATATATATATATATATATATATATATATATATATATATATATATATATAAATAAATAAATAAATAAATAAATATATATATACATATACATATATATATATATATATATATATATATATATATATATATATATATATATATATATATATATATATATATATATATATATATATATATATGTATATATACATACAGTTGTGGCCAAAATACTTTGGCCGGCTTAAAAAAAAATCAAAAATATGAAAAAGCCAATTTTTATTTCTATAAAGAGTTTAAAAAAAAAAAAAAATCTATTAACTAATATATAATTGAATGCCCTTTTTTTGATGGCACCAATTTGATACAATTTAGCATAGAATTGACTACTTTTTGACATAGTTCTTTGGTAATCTCAAAGCACTAAACTTGTGTAATCCAGTAAACTAAATCTTGCATTGTGTGTGATTCATGTTGTTCCCCTTGCTGCTTAAGAACAATTCACAAATTTTCTATTGAATTTCTATTGAAAGTCTGGTGAATTCCCAGACCATTCCAACACCTTGATATTTTTTTTTTTTTGACATACCAGCATTAAATTGTCTTGGCTGTATGGCACGGTGCACCATCTTGTTGAAATGTGGTACATCGATATATTTGCAAACCTTGCTTTCCAATATTTCCAGATATTTGGCTAAATTCACAGTTGTGCCTTAAGGTACAAAATACACTGCACCACTTCCAAAAGCAGAAAAACACCCCCAAACCATCAACCTTTGGTAGTATTTCACAGTAGGAATTGTGTAACGAGGATTCTATTGTTTTATGAAAGGATGATTAACATAATGATGCCAGGTACCAAATGGCATTATCATAGTTTCATCGCTGAATAGCATTTTACTCCACTGTCTGGAAGTCTAGTTCTTTTATTTTTTTTAAAATGCTATTCTTTTTGCACACTGCTTGTTAATTAATAACGGTCTCTTGGCTGCAACTTGGCAAGGCAATTTAAATCTAGAAAAAAGTCTAAATCTTAATGTTTATTCACTTACATAAGATGGTAACTGTTTGTTAATTTCTGCTGACAATATTGAAGGATTTTTTATTATAATCCTTTTCATACTTAAATCATCACATTTTGTAGTAATTCTTGGCCTTCCAGATGATTTTTAAGTACTAAGGTGACCAATGACTTTGTAATGTTTAATAATATTGTTAACAGTTGACTTTTAATTTTTTTTTTTAATCTCTCTGCTAGAAAAACCATCCTTGTGATATTTTACTATTAATGCACATTGATAAGTTGAAACAAGTATTGCTTTGCCCATTTTACATTATAATAAAGTAATAAATATTAAAAAACTCAACAAATAATACATAAAACTACAAGATATTGCATCTAAAAAACATCAATAAAAGACTAGTAAAATGACAAAGATTTTTATTATCGCTTAAATCGCCTAATAGGAACAGCTATCCAATACCTGCTTTAAAATTGTTTACATATAATTAATAACCTAGATCAATATATATATATATATATATATATATATATATATATATATATATATATATATATATATATATATATATATATATATATATATATATATATATATATATATATATATATATATATATATATATATATATATATATATATATATATATATATATAGTAATATAAATTATACTTTATGCCAAAAATATATGGTAGCTCTCAGAAAGACAAGATTTTACAAATGCCAAATTTCCGTATTAGATGCTTCTTGTATGTGAAAAAATAGTGGAAGACATAGTGTTTGTAAACAGTTTTAAAGTAATTGCATAATTTTCTTTATGGGGGCTAACTACCTTATTAATTACTCATACTATCAATTATGCTTAATAATATTTACAATATATTTACAAATCTCTAACAGATTTAAAATTAAGTTGTAAAGAACACATTTTCCTTTTAAAATTAAAAAAACAGTTTAAAAAACACTTTTTCTATTCATTTTATTTTATAACTTCTGTAGTAATTTATTTTTACTTTTAAATTGATTTATTATTAACTCCAAATAACAGATGTTTTTAAAATATTGATATATATAAAAAAAAATTAATATCAACTTTATGGGTATTAAGAAGTTATAAACATATAACAAAGAAATGAATAAAATACCATGAGTGGGTACTTAAAGCTTTCATCTGAGAGACTGCAACTTGAAATTTTTTCCAAGATTGACTTTAAAACAGGTTCAAAAATCTAAAAGGTGCGCAATAAACCTACACAAACATCAAAATACTTCAGTAAAAACAAGTTGCATAAAAAAGGGAGTACAAAAAAACGGAGAATGCTAAAACATTTGAAGATGTCAAATAATCTTTTTTTGTTTACTTTTGAATATAAATTATAATAAAGGTATGACACTAAGTAATGGAAAAAAAAGGTAATAAATAGGTAAAACAAAGTGTGAGAAAAATGAGAATGCATTTTACTCATTTAATTTAAAAGTATCACTTCACTCAATTAATTTAAAAGTTTTCACCTGTTGAAAATCACCTGAGAGCCATAAAGTAGAAACAAAACTGGAAAGAAAATCTGCTGGAAAATAATACTTTTCATCAAGTAAAAAATGAGTAACAATACAGCTAGTATTATTCATTCTAAAGAAAACAAAGTTTGTTCATCTAAAGTATAACTTATACAAAATTATGCATGCATTATGTATAATTTTATTTAATATATGCTTATATAATGCATGTATTAAATATTATGTGCATAAGCAACTTGAAACTTTACTTATCATGACATTAAACTAATACTATAATGAGACAAATGTAACTGACTTAATGAGACAAATGTAACTGACTTAGGAGAAGAAAAAGTCTAAAACAAAAACATAAAATTAGGTTTGGATAAGGGAGAAGCAAGTTAGTTTTGAATAGGGAAAGAGTACATAAGCCTTACTTAATAAAACTCAGTCCTGATATGCAAAACAGGTCAAAGTATGTATATGATATAAAAAACAGGTCAAAGTATGCATATCAAAGTATCCAGTTGTAAAAAACCTTAAATCTTCTGTAATGTCAAAATAAAAAAATGGCATTATAGAACACAGCTCAAACCAATCGAGTGTGGAACCGCAAAAAAAAAATATTAGAAAATTAAAAGTAAAGAATAATCAAAGTTTTATCTATAAACAACTTAAAATAAAACATAAGTTTCAGTTCATAAATGTTCTGATATTATCTTATTACAGATAACCTATCTGTTATAATGATATCTTATTACAAATAATTAATATATTTAGATTCGTTAAAATTTTGACGTTGCAATACTTTTATTTTGCAATATATGTCTATACTTAAACGTTTATATTAGGTTTTAACAAAATTTAAAGTAAACATAGGAAGTAATTAACTTACTGGCAGCAGCCATAACAAGTAGGCATCCCCCTTTAAATTGAAAGAAACTTTTTTTGCAACAAAATTAGAAAAATTTAATTTAAACAATCTAAATTTATGTGTATTTACAAAACTGGGTTTTTTAAGAACATGTGTAAGTTACACAAACTAACAAAAAGTTGTAATGTAAACTTCAAGTCATGCAAGGACAGATAATAATCTTGAAAGTTTTATAAAAAATTATTTCATGGTAATTCAAACCTAAGGTAAATGGAAACCAAATTTGCATTTGTCATATATCTAGAAACAAAACAAGATTTTTTATACAGAATTTGTCTGCATAACAAATTTTGCTTTGTTTCAAAATGTCAATAGTCTACTGCTGCTAACATAGTGAATGCTTATGTATTCCATAAAAAATATTTTTTTTGAAAGGGCTTTAAACAAAAAAAAATACATGCCTTTTAAGAACACTTATACTTATATTATCACTAACACTTATATTATCAGCTTATAGCTGATATTATAAGTGCCTCTTTTTCTAAAATAAATATTATAAATCATACATCAAGGTGAGAAAACTGATACCATATTTAAAAAGCAAGCTTTCAGGGGCTTTAGTACATACATCGACTGACTAAATAGGAACCACATGCGAGGAAACTACATCAACTAAGGGTTTGTATTAGGGTGGTAAAATATTTTTTTCATTATAACTCCTATCTTTATAGATGTACACAATTAGGTATACAAAAATATATAAGTATAATATATATATATATATATATATATATATATATATATTATATATATATATATATATATATATATATATATATATATATATATATATATATATATATAAATTATATATTGTATGTTAGTGTTAAAGACTCCGATAGTCACATGCTTAGCCTTTTTTTTGATCCACATTTACCTTTAGGTGCTTCTGATCATGATTTAATGTTTCTAAAACTATTTTCTAACTCTTTTTCATCATCAGAATCCCTCTATCATCATACCTCTTACATTTTCTTTAAAGCTGACAAGGATTCTTTCCATAATTTTTTTCATAATGGACCTAGAGTAGAAATCTTTTATCTTCCTGCAGATAAATGCGCTTCTTATGTTACTGCTTGGATTCAGGCTGACATAGAATCTTATATTCACTTTCAACAATTCTCCATGGCTTTTCAATCGTTGAGCTGCAGCAATTTCCAATTGTAACTATTACTTCTATATCTATCACTAAAAGAATTCTCCAGAAAACAGAAGTCTGCTTACTTATACCATTGTAAAAAGGTTTTGTCTAATGCTCAAGCTTGCTATTCTTTTTTTTTTTTTTTTTTTTTAATTAATCACCTATTCAAGGCCCGAGGAGGCTACTCATTTTTTGTTGTTGTTGTTGTTGTTGTTGTTGTTGTTGTAATTTGTGGTACAACCCTCTTTTAACTCTTTAACTCCGAAACATGAACCTTGACAAGCAAGGCCACTGCGCGGAGAAATTAAGTTGAACACGGTACTTCCAGGGACGCGGTGGGAGTCGAACTCCGAACCTCTCACTTACAAAGCGAGCGCTCTTACCACTACACCACTACCGCATAATTCTTAAGTGACAAACCTTGTATTTCATTTTAACTGTCTATAATAAAAAAGCAAACCTGGAATTACACCTCTCCTGCATGGTTCAGACTTTGTTACCTCACCTGAAGACAAAGCTGAACTGTTTACTATGAACTTTTCATCAATCTCATCTCTGATTTCACTAATTACATCCTACCTGATATAGTCGACAAACAGGTTGATCCATTGCTTGACATTTATATAACTATCTAATATTCAAGCCTGATAAAAAGGGGCATCTGTTATCTCTATTTTCAAAAATTCTGGAGAACAATCTGACTTGTTTAACTACCGTCTAATTAGTCTTCTTTATATCATAAGCAAGGCTTTTGATTCTTTAATTAACAAATCTCTCATCTTGAATCTAATAACTTTAACAATAATAACCAATACTATATAAATAACAATAATTGGTTATATAACATAAAAAAAAAATTGATTTTACCATGCATTAGATAGATGTTAAGAGGTTAGTGCTATAGCTCTCAACATTTCCAAACCTTTCACTCGAGCTTAAGTATCTAAAGAGATTTAAAATTCTGCAAGACTAAAACATACATGTTATAGTCTTGCAGAAGTGTTCTCGGGAGCTTTTAATAAAGTTTGGTATGCTGGTCTTCTCCATATGCTCACTTCTTGTGGTGTATCAGGTAAACATCTTTAAGATGATTAAATCTTTCCTTATCAAATGAAGTACAAAAGTTGTCTTAGATGGACATATGGACTTTGCTCTCTTCTTTAAAGCACATCTTCCTGTAACTTTAGAGGTTCATTTTGGTCCTATACTTTTTTTAAACTACATTAATGTTTTCCCTGAAGTTCTCACATTTAAGGTGGCATTGCTAACGATACTATAATTCATTCTTGTCTTAATAAGAAGGGAGGGCACTTGAGTTTGAAAAAGATGTCACCTATACAACAGCATGGGGCTCTCAGTGGCTGGTGAACTTTAACTCAGATAAAAAAATTTTCAGCTAATCGTTATCACAACAACCTAGATATTCCTATACTTATGAACGGTGATGTACTTGATGACTCATCTACCCTTCGTCTTCTAGGATTGACTCTTACTTCTAATCTTTCCTGGAAACCATATATCAAATTAATTGAAAAATTAGCACATGCTAAGGTTGCATCTCTTTGTTGTGCTAGCTACTTTCTTACTCTGGATTCTATTCTTTATCTCTAGAAATCTCTAATCTGTCCTTGTATGGAATACTGTTGCTATTCTGGAGCAGATCTTTAGAAATGATTTTTAGACAAGGTACAAAAATACATTGATAATATAATTAAATCTGCTCTTGCAGCCAACCTTCAACTATTGTCACATCATCATAAAGTTGATTCTCTTTCTCTTTTCTATAAATACTATAATGGGCGCTGCTCTAAAGAGCTAGTGTCTCATGTGCCATCAACTAAAATTTATTCTTGTATTAATTAATTAAGTCTTATCCTTTTACTGTGAATGTTCCCAAGTGCTCCCAAAATTCTTATTTATCTAGTTTCTTCCCTTGATCTTCAGTTCTTTAGAATTCGCTCCCATTATCTTGTTTTTCTGATTCATATAATTTGCAATCTTTTAAGTTTTTTGTTAATCAATATCTTACTTTATAGGTTAAATTTTGATTTTTGATGTATTTTAAATGAAATTATAAAACTAAAAAATTAAATAGTCTTTAAAAAAATATTGAAGCATTATTCATTTTTGTAGTTTTTTTAATATGGTTTTTAATGAAATTATTGGTCATTTCGAGTTGGAGTGAATATAAATACAAATATATATATATATATATATATATATATATATATATATATATATATATATATATATATATATATATATATATATATATATTTATATGTATGTATGTATGTATGTATGTATGTATATATATATATATATATATATATATATATATATATATATATATATATATATATATATATATATATATATATCTACAAATGATAATGTATTACTAGCCATTCAAATTTTTAGTAACAAACATTTTATCTGAAAGTTTTCCTTGTGAAATTAAGACTGCATAGTTGATACAGATATCATTAACATTTAATAGTATTTCTTTCCACTGTTGATTAGAATTTTTCTAAAAAAATTGAATAAAATTTATTAAACTAACAAACAATAAGGAAGATTTATTTTCTGTTGTCAAACAAATATTTTTTTTGTAAGCATTTCTCATTTTAATTTTAAATATGCAAACCGTTTTTTACAATAACATCAAGTTAGAAAGATATTTGAGTACAAATTTTCAGCGTTTAGTGTAAAACCTTGAATATTGTAAAAAAAAAAAAAAAAAAGTTCAAAAACATACCAATGAAAATTTTTTTTTATTTTAGACCTGCTTTATTAGAATTACTTTTTATTGTGTTAGAAATGTATGTTACAGTTATAAATGTAATTAAAAATTTAATATTCAAAACTAACTCCCTGAGAAGCTTTTGCTCGCTCATAACAATCACACAAATATCGAAGTGCAGCTACACGCCATTCTAACATTGTATAATCAAAAGGAAGTTCATGAGTATCATGATGATTTAAGCCGGCTTTTGAAAATTCTTTAGATGGGCTTGTTTTATCAACTTGTGAATCAATAAAAACATCATTATTTTGAAAAACTTGTGGCGTGCTACTTTCATGTGAATAAAATGATCTAAGTAGTTTGTTCATCAGAACTTGCTGAATTATATCTTTAAAGTTTACTATACTTTTAACTATAAAAAAAAAGAAAATTAAAATTAAAAAATCATCATAAAAATTGTAAATAATTACAAATAATACAAATTTAAATAACAAACAATGGTAAATAATATAATTGTAATAAATTATTTTGTTAATTTTGTTATAAATAATTATCTTATATAATAAGTATATAATATATATATATATATATATATATATCAGGCTTTCCTAGGAAAGGCGTGCGGTCGCACGCCTTGTTTGTCCACGCATAGAATAAATTTTTCAGAAAATGTGACCGCGGCAATATTTCGTAAGAAAGCGGAAATTATCCATAGAGAATAAAAAATAATATTTAAAAAATGAAACGAAGTCTAAACAAAGTATAAAATTGAAATTGGATGTAAGAAAAATATTTCGATAATAAAAAAAAATTAAAAAAAAAAAATTCTTGTAACAAAAAAAAAAAGTCTTGAACATTTTTTTCAAAATTTTATACTGTTTTTGTTTTCTTTTATTAGGGTTGCTATTTTCAGCTACGAAATTTGATACAAGTCAAGGAAAAGACGACGATAAGTCATAAAGTTTTTACGAAAATAAAAAGACTTGATACGTAATTTATTCACAAACTTTATCAGACAATGTATTAAAAAATTGATTCATTATTTACGCTAGACAAATTTGGTCAAACTTTTTCATTTAATTTAGTTTTTACGAAGGTTTATGCAAAGGCAATGACTTTATTCCCCAATACTTAGACAAGAAAATAAATTGCTGTTTTAATTATTAAATATATTATTTGAGATTTTAAACATAACAAAATTTTAATGTGAAAAAAGTTCGACTTATTCTAAACTGATTTTACTGAGTCAATGCTCGCCTTTTATTACGTTGAAATTATTCAATTGCATAATTTTGTAATTACGAAAGAAGTTAAAAAAATAATTGCATTGCTTCTGTTGTCATTGTTACGAAAACAGTTCCTTCGGGACATTATTAGATATTAACACTCGTTCACAATGTCAATTAATGATCGCAAAATAAGCAACTCAATCGTTTGACAATAACATTTTCTTTCATTTAAAAAAAAACAAAAACATTTTACTAATAAATAGCAATCGTTTTCGTGTTTTCTTGCGTATCAATACATTCAAACATTAAAATCAATACATTTAAACATTTAAATGTATTTACGAAACATTTAAAAAATGTTTATAGTTCTATCGTGAATTTTAAAGTATTACTGACTGATAAAAGTCATAAACAAATTTTACATTAAAAGGTCCTTTTATTTTCTTTAAGCATTAATCTTTTTCTTTTTGATTTGATTTTTCTTATTGATTTGATTTTTCATAGCTTAAATAACTACCACCCTAAATAAATAAATAAATTATAGGTAAATTTTTTTTTTAATAATATGCATTAATTTTTTAATTTTAAAGCACAAACAGATTTCTGTTATTCACTTTAAGATTGCTTGCATTTTTGCGGTATTTTCGTTTAGCTTTGATTTGGCGCGAATTCTTGAAACGCATAATAATAAAACGTGGTCAGTTAGTCAGAAAAATTTATTCTATGCGTGGACAAACAAGGCGTGCGACCGCACGCCTTTCCTGGGAAAGCCTGATATATATATATATATAATAACAAATATCTTAATAATGATTAGTATGATACATCCTTGTAATAAATAATTCTTATAATGAGCATAAATTTTTCAATTATATTGGGACCCTAACATTTTATCAGATACGCCCAAACATATTTCAGTGTCATTCAACTCAAGTTTTCATAATTTGCATTTAATTGTTCAAATAACAATTAAAAATGTATTTATTGAATTTACATTATGTCTTTCTAGATCAATAAAAAGTGATAAATAAATTTAATATTAATTTTTTATATTCTTTTTTTGAAAGAGTTCAACTACTTACAGTATCGCAAACTATGCATTTTTCAAAATGAGATAAAGTATGGCTGAACTTAAATATGATTGAGTTATTTAATTTCACCAAAGTACAATTATCTTGACAAAAATTCATCTTTGACAGTTAAGACAGTTTATTTTGAGAGTTATACAACAGAAAAATTAAACAATGTAAGAAAGGTCTTGCCCACAAATTTTTTAATGTTTGTACTTTTAGCCACCAAATTCAAAAATGAAATTTGTTTTGATGTAACACCAACAACTTTTTATTCATGCCTAATTTCTTATTTTCTTGACATAAGTACAAATTCCAAGTCAGTATGTTGTATCAATATATCTTAAAATTTTAAAGATAATTACTTAACATATAGCACTTTTTCATCTATTGAAAGTTATTTTTTTTTTTATTATTTGCATTCACTCCCAACAAGGCTGCAAGCAGCCACTATTAAGTTGGGAGTTACTAGGAAAAAAAAAGAACAGAGTTATAGAGCAAGTAAACGGTTGACAGAAGACTTGAAAAGTTGAAGGTTGTATGAGTCAGGAAAACACGAAGATGGGAGAGAGTTCCAAAGGATTGAAGTGCGGGGAAAAAAACTAGATGAATAAAAGTTTTTAGAGCATTCAGGGACATATACAGTAAACGAGTGAGACTTAGCTGAATGACGAGTAAAACGAGAATGAATTTTAGTTGATGGAACTAGAGATGATAACTCCTTTGAGCAGTGACCATGATAGTATCTGTGGAAAAGAGAAAGAGATGCAACTTTACGACGATGGGAAAGAGGTTCAAGCTTAGCAGATAGTCCAGGTCCAACAACATTTACAATGCTTTTTTGGACCTTGTCAAGAAGAGAAAGTGAATCGTTAGAAGAACCAGCCCAAATATGACAACAGTATTCCATACAGGGACGAATAAGAGATTTGTAGAGGTAGAGAATGGAATCAGAAGTAAGGAAATGGCGAGCACGATAAAGAGAAGCAACCTTAGCAGAAGCTAATTTAGCAATCGATTGTATATATGGTTTCCATGAAAGGTCAGTAGTAAGCGATAATCCAAGAAGACGTAAAGAGGAGGACTCAGTAAGAGGATTGCCATTCATTAATATAGGAATGTTGACCATATTACGGTAGTTGTTTGCAGTAAGCAATTAGGTTTTCTTAGAGTTAAAATTCACAAGCCACTGTAAACCCAGTCTATTACTGAAGTGAGATTAGATTCAAGATCAGCTGCTTGTTCTAGGCGATCGAAAAGAGAAGACTTTTTGTCAAGACAGGAGTATAAAGTTGAGTCATCAGCAAAAAGAGCTACTTTAGATGAAAGGTTGTCAGGAAGATCGTTTATGTAGATAAGAAACAAAACAGGGCCCAGGATGGAACCTTGGGGAACCCCAGAAGTTACTGGAAATAAAGAAGAGTGTTGGCCTTCAAGGATGACTTTAATAAACCGGTCAGAAAGAAATGATTTGATAATCTCAAAAACTTTCCCAGAAACACCATATGAAGCAAGCTTATGGAGAAGACCAGCATGCCAAACTTTGTCGAAAGCTTTAGATATGTCGAGAGCAATAGCCCTAGCCTCACCGCCTCCGTCTAATGCACGATAAAATCTTTCAGTTACAGCAGTTAGCAAGTCGGCCGTAGAGCAAAAGGATCGAAAACCGTATTGATTGTCTGACAGCAGTTCATTTGACTCAAGATGAGATGTGAGGAATTTGTTGATCAAAGACTCAAAGACCTTGCTAATAACAGAAAGAAGACTGATCGGACGATAATTGGAGGGGTCAGAATTTTCTCCAGAGTTTTTGAATATTGGAACCACAGATGCCATTTTCTAACAAGCAGGAAAACAAGACTCAGTCAAACACTTGTTAAATAGTTTAGAGAGAATTGAAGAAAGTTCTGGAGAACAATTCTGCAAGACTGTGACAGGAATGTTGTCTGGACCACAAGCTGTAGACAAGTTTAATTGAGATATTACTTTAGTAACAGAAGCCAGAGTAATTTGAATGTCTAACAATGGGTCAACCTGTTTGACAGGAATGGAAGGAAGAGAATGCCCATAAGATTCAAGAGTGGAATTAGAAGAAAAGTTCTTTGCAAACAGTTCTGCCTTATCCCTGGGAGAGGTAACAAGATCAGTCCCATGAATGAGAGATGGAATGTTAGATCTACCCTTGTTAACTATGCCGTTGAAGATTTTCCAAAAGTCTTTAGAGCCTAACTTCTGCGATAAGATGGGAGATTTAGTGAACTGAGAATAATGGAGTTTAGCATCAGAAAGCACCTTTTTACATCGATTTCTTGCAATAATATATAGCCGTTTGTTCTCAAGAGAGTTGTTCTTTTGAAAAAGATGAAAAAAATGATTACAATTGGATATAGCAGCAGCACAAGAAGGAGAAAACCATGGAGTAGAATGAGGCTTGACTTGAAACCGACGAGAAGGAATAAAAGCTTCCATTTCAGCCTGAATCCAGTTTATCCAATTTAGTAAATAATTACAAATAATACAAATTTAAATAATAAGCAATGGTAAATAACACAACTGTAATCAATTAATATTTTGTTAATTTTGTTATAAATAATTATCTATAGTTATTTAGAAAGTATGATAGTTTTATGAAAAGGTCAGGCTTTGATTCAGTGTTTTGCATGACCACAGGCTTTCACAGGAAGGCATGCGATCGCACACCATTATATGACCAGGCAAATAATATTTGCTTTGGCAATTTAATTTCGGCCATTTCAAACACTTCGAGAATGCGTTGAATGAAAAAGTTTCTGAATTATATCTTAGAGAAATAAATGACATCATAATTTTTATTTTTACTAATGTTTTTACATTAGTGAAATGCATTTAAATGAAGTAACAATTTACTGATAATGATTTTTGTTTGTCATTGAAAGTTGTAGACAATTTTTTTAATTTATATAAATTATTTAAATGTGCATTTCTTATAATAAACGTTTTAAAAAAGAAAAAAAAAGCTTTTTTTTATAAACAACCATTTTTTTAGACATTCTCTTTAATGAACTTATTATAAGAATCATTGAAGTTAATACATTTAAAAGGTAAAAAAAAAATTGATTCATTTGCTTTAACTTAATCCCTTGATTTAAAATCTTTTTTTGTGTCAATTGGTTCACAATAGAATTTATGGAGTTTCCAAACTAGTTAAGTCTGTTAACTATGGCGTGAACCATGTCAAAGGGTAACTTTTTAAAACAGTCTTCTAACTATTTTGCTATCATCTTTTTTATAGAGGAACATAATTACATTATTATTCAGAATAAAATAAAAGACATAGGAAATAATTTAATGCTATAAGAAATACACCATTTGGTAAATAAATGATTAACTATTGAATTATTTAAACAACAAATGGGATTTAAATATATCAAAATAAAAACTCAAGCTTAAAATATTATATAAATATAAAAATAAAAAA